GCTTATAGGTGCTTATTTTTTTAACTAAAATGTGGCTCTGAACCCTGTTAAATGACCCTCAATGCAAATTGAATTTGGCGTCAAAATTAGCAAATTTTGAAATTAAATATCTTGGTCACTTTTTGTTGCACGGATGTCAAACTTTTTATGTTGTATATTTTATAATTACTGTAACATCTTTCTAAATATAAATATAGAGCCTGCAGGAACATATAAAAAGTTAGATTTTGTAGTTTTTACTAAATGAAAAATTTCACAATATGAACATTGCATCTTTTAAAACAGTTTTTATACTTTGAAGTATATGTCTACAACCAACAGTTTTGCAAAAATAAAGTCTGGGTAAGGACTTTTGTGGTCAATGTGTGTGTAGTCCTTCCTTTTGTTTATATATATATTCCTTTTGTTTATTTACTAAAGAAATATTGATTATATTATCTCCTAATATAAATGTAGTAGAATGTATCTAAATGAGGGAACCCAGAAGTAAGAAGTTTAATTTCTAAAATTGTTTTTTAAAAGGAACTTTAATGTAAATCATGAAAAATACTTTTTAATGGGACTTAAATTTAAATGATGAAAAAGATTTTAAAAAGTACTTGAATTTAAATCATGTATAACAAAAATTCAAACTTTGAAAAAGAAAATTAATAAACGAAGTATTTATCATCATTGATCAGAAATTAGTTGACTTTTCAAGGGGAACAAACCAACTCCCGTTTAAAGAACAATAATTAATAAATGCTAAGGTGTTGCGTCTTTTACTCAAGTAAGAATGATGATGCCAAACTGGCAAATTAAATTAGACCAAAATTGTAGTTCCGTTAAGTGATTAGATTTTAAGAAAACTAGAGACACTAAAGCCAAATTAGAGTACCAAGGAACTAATTCTGAATGAAGCATTTTCGCTAATAAATAGATTCTTTAGAAATTTTGAGTGAATAGCTAAATTATGTAGTAAAATTTACAAGATACTTGAGTAAATGTTCCTCGACACCCTCGCTTTTATGCATGTTAATTCAAGACTATTTTTATAAAAATAATAAACAGTAGTAATCTAAACTGGAATTATGAAGTAGACTCAAAGCAAATTGTTATATATAATATATATATATATATATATATATCTATGCATATTCCTTCCTTTTATTTATGTAACACTTGAAAGACAAATTTTAATATTGAGGATTTTTAAACATACATAAAGTTGCACTTAGTAGTTAATATAGACTTCAGATTGTTTATGTAATCTGAAAGAAAGTATTTAAATATAGGAATTTCCCTCACATTTCATCCTGGTTGAGGAAATGTGTCTGTGTTGTATGTATAGGACTGTTAAATTTGGAATATATACTATCCAAATGCTAAATGTGCACACTTTAAAATAATTTTTATAAAATGCTTTTAACCTGTGCGATTAAACAAACCTTTCTCAAAGCGAGCTTATTTTACATAAATTGTTAAAGTCCAGTGTAGTCATGTCTGAGGTTGACATCTTTAAGTTTCCGAATTTTTTTATTGGGGCTTTGATTCGGAGTCTTGATTTTGATCGAATTATGCCTTTTAGACCCAGTGCAATTTATTACATACATAGTTGATTTGGATAATAAAAGGGCAAAATGTCATAATTTATTTAACCCTTTGCGGCATGGTGGGTCAATATATGTCCCACCTAATTAATATTTATTTTCTCAGTTAGCAATTTCCGTTAGAAATTTTCTAATCTTTTAAAAATAATCTATTTTAGTTATTATTTTTCTCAGTAGATGTTACTACTATACCAGGGCTTAAGTTTATAAGCAAAAAAATATTCAAAATAGGATCACAAGAGTGATATCCATGTATCTCGCATTTTTCAATATTTTAAAAATTTTGGTATACAATTTATGATATGTATGATTCTTTTTAATATTCAAAGGTATTTTATTTTCAAAAATCTTAATTGGATTCAATATTTTATAACATTAATTTTGCAGTTGAAATAAGTGGGTTAAAATTTGTCCCACCACACACTTGAATTTCCGCTCAATAGATGGCAGCACTCACGATTATTTTTTCTTTTCTTTTTTGCATCTACTTTTTTCGTGATTGCGCGCGCTTTTACATCCGTTGTATGCTCTGATGTGCTAAAATGTCTAGAAAAAAATTAACAACTCAGGAAGCTTTGGATCTTTTTGCTGAATTGCCATCCGATTGCGACTCAAATGCTTCAGATGTCAGTTCTGATTCAGATGAAATTGAAATCCAGGAGAGAATAACTGAGGTTGAAGTTATTGCTGAAGAAGAAAGGGAAGTAGTTATAATAATTTGTTTCGCTTTTTAAAGACACAGACCCATCTATGCATGTGGCACTGTAAATATGGATCGGAAGTATCTACCCAAAAATTTAAAAGACAAATTTATGTCAAGAGAATATATAGACTTTTCAGTTAGCGATGATTCAATTTATTGCATAAAATGGAAGGATAAAAGATCCGTTTCTATCCTGTCTTGCTTGGAAAAGGCAACTGAAATGAAAGAAATTAATAGAAAAGAACGAGATGGAAAGACAAAAAAAAAAGTACTGTGCCCAAACAGCATTATTTCATACAATAAGAATATGGGATATGTCGACTGATTGATCAACTGAAAGGACTATATGAAATAGACCGCAAAAGCAAGAAATGGTGGCACATGATTTTTTTTTTTTTTTTTTTTACTTTTTAGATGCGAGTATAGTAAACACATTTATTCTATTTAAGTTTGTTCGCGAACCCGATCATGATGTAAAAACAATGAAAGATTTTCTTCTCTCAGTTATAGAAGGTCTAATGGCACTTGCAGGCAAGAAAGAGCTGAAAAGAAAACTGAAATCCCCAGTTCAAATAAAAACTAAAAACCCGTTCGTACAACCAGAAAAGACTAACTAAAAAATGTAAGTCACACGCCAAAGAGAACGAGCAGGAGAAGATGTGCATATTGCAGCACATCGAAAGAAGAACGACGAACATTTTGGATGTGTGAAACATGTGAAGTGCCTCTATGCTTACAAAAGAATGAAACAACATGTTTTTCAAAGTTTCATGAAAAATGACTTTTTTTCAATTTTAATCATATATAAATGTTTTTGAATCAAGTGCCAATTTTAATATTTTATTTAGTATCATATGTACGAGTATCAAATTTTAATCTTAAAATAATATTCAAGAAATATTTTTCTTTTGTTCCTAAAATTTAAAAATATTAAATATATACTATATGCAAAATGTGCATATGCAAAATTTTACAAGTCATGCATATATGCAATAAGTACAAAATGCATTTTAGTGTGTTTATTATGAATATTTTAGAATGCACGCTTTATTTTGTTTATTCATTCCACATATAATTTTTTTTCCTGCTATACACCAATATGCTATAAGACATGTGCTAGTTGCATGGTGGGACAAACGGTATCCCACCTTCCACCGTAAAAAATAAAAGCGCAGAATTTTTTTCAAGCCTTAAAGGCACTTAAGTAAGTCCATCTGACTTATTCTAAGGCATTTTTTTAAAGATTAAAATGTATTTTAAATATGCGTGTCGCAAAGGGTTAAAGGAAGAAATATTACAAAGGTTCTTAGATGTATCAATTGACCGTAGAATGTATTGAAGAAAATGAGTATGGAAGTGATCATGAATGTTTAGTTTGTATGATAATGATTCTCAGAAACAGATATAGATTCTGAAAACGAGAGTGAGAATGACATAAATTGTTTTACTGGAAATAAATTATCGGGAACAATAAAAAAAATGGAAGATTTTGTCCAGCGAAAAAGCACACAAGGTCTTCGCCATTTCTGTCGGTCTTAGACCACGCTTGTTTATCTATGATTTCTTTCTTAATTTCAACGGCTAGGTTTTTTTATTTTCCTTTGCAGCATTATCTCAGGCAACAATCTTCTTGGGAGGCATCGTGAAATAATTATTTTCATGTTAAATGTAATAAACAATTGACTCACAAGCGCACAAACATGTAGATCAAAGAACATCGAGTGATCTGATGCAGAGATTCCACGAGTCGAGCTGGATCGCGAAATGGCACTACGCATATTGACAGCCTGACTCGTTGCTCGTTACTCGAGTCAATGCGTGTATTTAGAGACAAATGTTTCGCTCATACTTTCCTTGTAACTCGAATTTCTCGTATATAGAGGTGCTCATATCTCGAGGTTCCACTGTATTCGTGATTTTATTTTTGAAAATTGTAGTTGTTTCCATTATTGCTGTGTGGATTTCAGTATATTTCTTAACTTTTAATAGCATATTTATCTAAGAACAGACTGACCATTTTTTGTTTTAAAAATCTGAAGCAGATTTTGTGTTTCTATTTGTATTTTCAACTTTTAATTTCGCCGTCCAGACAGGATAGTGGTTAGTGACTCTGACTGCTATAACAAAGGGTACAGATTCAAATCCCAGAGAAGGCATGGGAGCTTTCTTAGTATATGGCGAGCCAGAAGTCCTTTCATGGGATTTGATGGTAAGGTAGAAGGGTGTAAGACCCCCCATACACCCCCAGGGTGCTTTCTCTCATTGGAGTGGAAGTAGAAGTCAATCTCCTTGAGGCTCTGGTAACATTTCTTCTATAAAATATGAACTGGACAATAAACTTTTTTATTTCTTTCAAAGTGTAGAATATACTGTCAAATGATATATTGACTTATATGAATGAAATCTGCGATTTTTATTTCTCTGAATTGGTACATTGTGGAGAACACTTATGTTGTTCTTTACAGACAGAGGGGGAAGGAAAATATGTCTATAAAATTTTGAATGTGAAAATTTTATCAAATGCAGTACCTGCAAATTGTAAACTAATAACCTTTTTTGTAATATTGAAAAACTGTATATATATTTGAGAGTGTTATAATATTGTTTTTCATTTTATTTAAATTTGTGTACCCAATTATTATATATATATATTTATTTATTTATTTGTGAATCCCATATTTACAAAGTTAACAACTTAATTTCCCCAGGTATTCCAATACTAACAATTTAAGGAAAGCTTTTCTCGATATGGAGGCGGCCCTGCAACTTGATCATAGCCATCAAACTGCTAGAAAACAGATGTCAGTACTTCTGGTTGCTGCTGCTAAAAAGCAAGTTCTTCCTGTATTAAGTTTAGAAAATTCTTGAGTAAAGTTATTTTTAGTATATTTATGCACAATTAATGTTTGGTTCTATTTTCTTAATTCATTATCTGGCAGTTGCAATAAAACCGCATTGAGATCTGCAGTTAATTTGCAAAGGAACTTATCTGTAACTAGTTGTTAGATAAAGATTAATGGAGAATGGATGGCCAAGCCATTAATGGCCAAGGATTAAGCACATTAATGCTTCTCTAATTCCTACAGTATAGTTGAAACAGGAATTATATATATTAAGTTGATTTAGTTTAATAATTTGAACATTTTATATAAAATAATGTATAATATGATTTTGTGTAAAATTGTATAAAATACCCCCCTGTTCTCTTTTTTTTTTTTTTTTGTTTTATTGATTTTTGAACAGCTATTAAATAAGAATTTTGACGAATTTGTGAAAATATTTACACAGTTAAAAATAATTTCTGTTATAATAAATAATTTAAGGGAAAGCTTCCGATTATGGAGGCGGCCAAACAATAGCCATAAATGTAGGAAAAAACAACATCTATTTTAATGCTCAATAAATAATAATTAATAAAAAATTCAGTAAAGTTATTTTGGAAAAATGCAAAATGTAATCTATTTGCTAATTTTCACGTAGAAAGCATCGATACAAGATTAGAAGTAATTCGTTTTCTCATTTTATAAAAATGTGAATTCTTGCTTGTATGAGTGATTTCTCTGAACTAGCTGATTAAAATTTCAAGAAATTTTGACGAATCATGTAAATATGGCACCCGCATAATTTTTAAATTGATAATATAATTTCTGTTATATCAGAGGTTTAGGCCCAGTTCTGTGTCTAATTTTTTCTTTATCTTATACTTGTAAACAACTATATACAGGGTGTTTATAAAATCCCAGACACATTTTTGATGTTTAATAACTCATAAAATAATAAAGATAGATAAAAGTTAATAACATAAATGGTTAGATAGACTCAAAAAGTTTCATGATCCTTGTCAATGAACTTCTATGTGTGCTCCCTTCGTCGCACGGAGAATATCAAGTCGATATTCAATTTCACGCCAGGTACCGGCAAGCATGTTGGCATCCACAGAGGCTATTGCGGTTGTAATTCTGTCTTTTATGTCATCAATGTTCGATACTCTCCTACTGTAAACGTTGTCCTTTACAAATCCCCAAAGGAAAGAATGCATAACATTGCAATAGTTGCCCAAAACAAAAGAGAAAAAAATGCAGTTAATAAGCAGATGATATTTAGAAAAGAACAGATATTTAGACTGGAAAATGAAATTATCTGAAATTAACCACACGTACAGATGATATTATCAAAAGTAAAGATATGCAAGCGTGAAAAGGAATTCCATCAATAAATGCGATAAGTTAACATAACATAACAATAGGGCGCTTCCTTCTTATGAAAAGAAGGAAAGGAGTTTAGGCAAAATTGCCCATTACTCTTCCGCCATTTGATCATTTAAGATAAGGGATTTAAATGGTAACTCCCGTAAAAGGTAAATAATAAATAGATAAGATCTCAAACTGACACCAAATCTATAGTATCAGCAAAAGATCCCATCTCTAAGTTCAAGGTGTCGGCTGGATCGTAAAAACTTCCCTATTGGATGGAAAACCGATTCAATCCCTCCCAAACCACCAAACGCAATTCTTGACCAAACAAGAGTGCGATGGAGAGTCAAATAAATAAGGAGGGCAGAGGTGCATTCTCAAGCCAAATGGCCAGGTAGTGAGTGTATAAAGATTTGATATCATTATATTCCAAAACACAGCTATGAGAGGGAAATCCCTGCATAGTTTCTTTTCAAAAAAAAAAAAAAAAAGAACTCACAGGGCGTCTCAAAGCTTGTTTCTTGTGGTTCCATATTCACCTTACCTGTAGGTCTTTAGTATACATCAGAAACCCTATTATGCCAGAGAGCCCTTCGTATAAAAGGGCTTGATCAAAGGTAATATAGGGAAACCCAAGGAATTTGTTTCTAGGGACAGAGAACACCGGACATCGTCCCAAAAAGTGAAAAGATGTTTCCTCCTCTTCTTCTCCACAAGCTGGGCAGAGAGGAGATTCGACAAGACCACATTTGTGGAGATGCTTAGCTAGATAAGCATGTCCAGTAACAATTTGAATTACCTGGCGTAAGTTAGTTCTACTGAGGTGTATGAGTTTACCTGAAAAGTTAAGTGTACTGAGCACCAATTTAGAATGAGCACAGTCTGGAAGTTTAGACCATATCATCATGTTTGTTCTTTATCCAGCTTCTTACTTCTTTTTTAACCGTTTGATATGAAACTGGGTAAAATGGTTCTGGGCCAGACATGGGGAGTTGCGAAGCATCTTTAGCTACTTTATCAGCTAGTTCATTTCCAGCAAAATCACAATGACCTGGGACCCAGACTAAACTAATGATATTATGGGCCTGAGCCAGAGAATTGAGATCTTGAGTACAGTTCAAAACACAGTTTTGTAACTTGACATGATTAGCCAGGGCAAGGATGGCTGATTGGCTGTCAGAGAGAATATATATGTACTTATTAACTGTATTTTTAGCTAAGAGCTCCTTGGCGACCATATTGATCGCCAGAACCTCGGCTTGGAAAACAGTTGTAAACTTACCAAGGTATAGATGAAATCTAATGAAATCTTCTTCAGATCCCTTGGTCCTTATAATAGCTCCAGCTCCAGTGAAGTTGGATTTTGATCCATCTGTGTAACATTCAATTGAGCCTGTTGGAATTAGGCCAATTAGAGATTCTATCTCATTCCTTTTTGGTATATGAGTTGAAAATAGTTTATCTGGAACTATTGTTTTAGTAATTGCATCTTTGGGCATATAGATTATAGGGATCTCATTGCCCAAGTCCAGGCATATGTCAATGTGGCTTTTCAGGTGGCTTTTATGACCAAAACCTGTCCTTTGGCACCATGTGCCATTTTTATTCAATCTATACATGGCTTTAATTGCTTCTCCGCTCAAGAATAATTTCAAGGGTGGAATTTGCAGTAAAAATTCTAATGCAGCAGTAGGGGTACTATTTAAAGCCCCACTAATGCTTAGGCAAGCAAGTCTTTGCACCTTTTGTAAAATGTTTAAATACGAGCTTTTGTTAATAACATTACTCCAGACCACGCATCCGTAAGAAAGCATTGGCCGGACAATGGCAGTATAAATCCATAGAGTAGATTTTGGGTTAAGGCCCCATTGTTTACCAACGATTCGCCTACAAGTACTAGAACATTTGTGGCCGTTTGTGCCTTTTCTTTTATATGGGTGATCCATGTAAGTTTACTATCCAGGTAACATCCTAGGTATTTAACGCATTCCTTACGCCTTAATAATCTGGTGAACCCAGATATAAATCTGCCAGTTTCCATTTCCTTCTCCACGTGAAAAACTATGACCTCAGATTTTTCAGCAGAGAAAGAAAGGCCATTTGTATCACCCCAGTGTGAAACTTTATTTAAGATCTGCTGAGCTTGATTATGTAGGGTTCCGATATCGAAACCCTGTAATAACACAATAAGGTCATCTGCATAAGCCTGTGACATGCCAGGTTCCTCCCGTAGAAGTACTAAGAGTGAGTCGAAAACCAGGTTCCACAGGAACGGAGAAAGAATACCACCCCTGCGGACACCCTTTAGTAATATCTCTCTCTTTACTTCATAGTCAGTGAGACTAACACAGATATATTCCTGTTTTTAATCATGAAGATGACCCATCTAGTTATCATAGGGTGAATATATGACTTCCAGTAAGGGCCTTATGTATTTTCTCGAAACCGATGTTATCAAAGGCTCCTACAATATCCAGTAGAATCCCAATGGCAAAGTGTCCGTCTATAATTGTTTTTTCTATTCTCCACACCAGTTGGTGTAAGGCCGACTCAGTGGAGAAGCCAGGCCTAAAACCATGTTGGTTCTAAGCCAAAGATATGTTTCAGATTATTATCTGACTGGAGGTGCCAGAAAATCAATCGCTCCAACAGCTTAAGCTGGAAGGATGTTAGCGTGATCATTCTAAAAGAGTTTGGTTTCTCATATGTATCTTTTCCTGGTTTAGGAAGAAACACACCTCGTGAAGTTCTCCAAACCTTAGGAACATATCCTAAAATCAAACTGGACCTTCGAATATGTCCACGAGAATGTGACCAAAAATATCCCAGCCTTTCTGAAGCAGAATTGGGTAAATGCCATCGTTCCCTGGAGATTTAAAGGGAAGAAATACATCAAGGGCCGCTTTAGCCTTTTCAAAATTCACAATTGTCTTAGCAAAATCCAGATCTAATGGATTATGAAGTAGTTCCAATGGATTTTCCTGGGGGTCAGAGGTGACACTTCTGTCCCCCAGATGAAAATTCAACATGGTCGAAAGTGTATCCAAAGGGTTTATAGTATAACTGCCATCAGGTCGCGCATAACCGATGAGAGTTGAGACTCCTGAGATCTTTTAAGAATCTTATGTACTCTGGCAGTCTCATGGTAGGACAGAATATCTGTGCAGAACGATCTCCATGAGTTGTATTTAGTTTTCCTGATTTCACGCTTTTAAATTTCCTTTGTAGAATTTTGAAAGTTAGACCAGTTAACTTCAGATTTATTTCTGACAGCTTTCCTGTGCGCTCTCCGAACCTCTAGGCGGAGGCTTTCAAGCTCCTTGGTCCACCAAACTCTCTTGCTAGGAGAGTACTTCCTTCGTTTGAGAGGGCATGATGCATGATAAGATTCAATATGTCATGATGATTATTTGTCAAGGTTGTTTGCTTGAATATCAAGCTCCTCGACTGTAACAATTATTGTCTAAAACCTGAAGGTTAATGACATTAGAAACCAGGAAATCCTTATAAAGGTCCCAATTTGTGTTTTTAATGTTTCTGAAATATTCAGCTGGAATTTCATCTCTAATACAAAATTGTATAAGGCGATGGTCAGAAAGTGAGGGATTGTCACTTACATGCCAATTCTCAATAAGGTT